ATAATAATAATAAACAATATAGCACAGAATGATAATGAAAACACCTTTAAGTAACCCAGAGAGTAACCCAGATTATGGTGTTGTCTGTCTGTTCTTTAACAGAAAAGCTTGGTAAACCTTAGACTCTAAGGACAAATAGATGATTAAACAATGTACGATGTAAATACTTTAAAAGCTGTAATGGATAATTATATGATTCAGTTTTACATCAGAACAAATACAAACAAATAAAGAAATATACAACAATGTGTACAACACTCAGGCAAAATCTGGTCCACGGTGTAATTTTATTTGGCCAGTGACATCACATCAAATGTGTACTAGAGTTGGTCTACCAGTATATAGGCCCTGTATACTGGTAGGATTTGTAGTATTAGTATATATAGTATAACAAACAATATGTTTGAGCTATGTTATAGCACATACATATTGTTTGTTTGTTTTTTATTGTTGGCCTGTAAAAAATATATTTACATTAAAATAGAACTACAGTTTATGTGTATATTAAGCTTTGGTTGTAGTGACATAGGTACAATGTTTACGCAAAACTAAAACTAAACTTGTTTATATATGAAACATTTTTTTACATATCTGGAGAGAAGGGAAAACATGCACTATTGCCATCAATTTTTAATAAATATTTAGTTTTGGCCCACAACTTTGTCCCAGTTTTTAATTTTGGCCCACTGTAAATTTGACTTTGACACCCCTGTGATAAGGTGTTGGAATATAAAAGTAGCGGTTGGCCACATAAAAGACATGATGGACCAGATACGGCCCGTGAGCCTTGAGTTTTAGAGTTGACCTCTCATAATCAAGTTTCATAAGAGCACAGCTGCATATTTCATTGAAGGAACAAATTTACCTCTGACCCATATAGACAGTAGAGGGGTAAAAAGTGCAGCTGTCGGTTGTGAACAGAGTTTTTGTTAAAGGCCGCTGTGTTTATACCTTACAGTAAATATTTACAACATGAGCTGAGAGGAATTAAGGCTGCACTGTCAGACTTTGATAAAGGATTGATACGCCTCAGGCCTGGTGACACTCCATGCATTCAGACACTGCACATAGAGTTATTTAAACACACATCACATACAAGTGAGCAACGTGCGGGAGCCGGTGTCGGACTATCAGCACACAGCAGGAGAATTAATGCAGGAAACATGGGGATCCAAAATACACGCATGTATGGATAAACACACACGAAGGGAAAGTCCAACAAATGTCACTCAGGCTCACAGTATTTATTAAGTGGGTGAGACTTTGACACAGTTCAGGTAATTCAGTGCTTATAGCAAAGGAGGAACGATCATGTAACGTCTTTAACAGAACAGCAATACATATGGCAATATTTCACTTAATACAATGCAATACTATTAACATTCTTAGTATTTGAAGAAACAAATCTACAAAAAAAAAGTTTGCAAGGAAAACAGAAAGAAGACGAGTTTTTATGTAGAATGACACTGCAAAGAAAAAATCCCTAAACCAGTCCAGGACCACCATGGAGACCAACACCTGGTACCTGAATATTGATGATTATACAATTATATAACATAATTATACAATTATATAACATAATTCATATGTTCTAGATCATTGTTTCCCAACCTTTTTTGAGCCATGGCTCAAAACCCCACGGAAAAAACCACGGCACACCACTAAACAAAAATCATACAAAAATGTAAAGAAATATAATAATTTTCTAGTTTAAATGGCCTCGTACTTGACTAAAATGTCAGCCTGTTTAGTTGAAGACAACACTGATATAGTGGCAGGAATTGAAGAAAGACACAAAGATCTTCAACAGCTCTGATTATCTATTTTTTAGTTTTCATAACTATCTGCTGCCACCTAACAGAAGATGCTTTGATGGCACACTAGTGTGTCACACCATAGGAACGGTATTCCAAGTTTAGTCAGGGCCAGTTGATTAAAAAAGTAATGGCAAGATAACAACAAAATTACAAAATCAATATAAAAATCAAAACTTTGAAGAAAAAAAAAAGACAGATGAACAAATGTTAAATAAAGTGAAAAACTGACCTGGTTTTGACCTGCATAATCAACATCACAAAGGAGAGATATTTGGGCAAAATACAAAAAGAAAAGAAGGGAAAGAAAGAAATAAAGGCTGCTCATTTACACCACATCACACCTTGGACATTTTTATAGCATTATCCTCAAACCATTCTAAGCCCCTGCTGTCAGGCATCTCTGGAGACACTTCAACGCCTGTTCCTTCAGTTTACCCAGGTGGTTTAGACCTTGCACATCAGGCATGAACGACAAAAGAGAGAAGACACGATGGAAAAGACTGCGGTTGGTGTTGTTGTGTGTGTGTCAACGTGTTAAAGCAGGCGTGCAGATGGATCGTAGTGTCCTGCCAACTTTCATTAGAGGGCTGTATTTGGAGAAAAGCCTCTATTTTGCAGCAGGTTGAAGGAGAAAAAAAGAAAGCAGATTCTTCCTCCACGGTGAATGTTGGACTGAAGGTTTTCACTTATTTTATTTTTTTTTGTTAGTTAAAAAAACAGAAGAAAAATTGTACGATACATTTGTTCACTCAAAGATGCATTTGAAACTTGAAACTCATCAGACAAAAAAAATATTCCAATGTTAACTATTAACCAACCAAATTGATTTTATTTGTTAAACATGAACCGACTTCATCTTGAAGTGAAATTAAAAATTAATCTGCAATTCCAGATCATTTGTTGGATGCTCATGTCATTCCCAGTTGTTATAACGGATGCTGTGACCTGTTGATCCCCTGAAGGAATCTTATAATATGCACAATAAATTAACAAAACTTGTTAATAAGAGGATTAATAGAAATCACATAGGTAAGTGATATTGAAAATAGAACCAAAAATGGAAGCCCTGTGATCAAATCTTTAAAGAAACAATCTTTGGATTGACCTTGTAAAATAATCACTTTGTAGGTTACATTTCAGCTTAGTTGCATTCTCAGTGTGTCCTATCAAATAGTATTTGTCTTGAAGTTTGCAATAAATGTGCTAGGTCTTAACGGTCAAAGGGCAGCTGGAGAATTTCTTGCTTCAACTTGTGTAAATTGGTCGACATTAACAGTCTTTTTAATAGACTCGAAAAAGTCAACAGTGGCATGAAAAGCTCTGACATGTGAATTTTAAGGGCAGTTCGTCATCTGACATCATGTGAGTTTGTGGATTTCACATCACTCTCTGTGGTGGTGTGGAAACAAGGGGAAATATTTATTTGATCTCTTCTTGTGTTGCCAGTGAATGCATCACGCAATAGATATTTGTGCTCTTTGTTTCTGTCTTCTGTATTTTACAGATGTAAGATATCTCAGATTTAACATGTGCAATGTCTTTCTTCTGAAGATTAGTAATACAACAATCCGCCTGCATTAACAGACCTGGTTGAACATGTGCATGTGGCTGCACATGCTGTAGAGGCACAAGCTATCAGGAAAACACACATGCTCTTGTACCTACTTATTGTGCTGTCCAGCACAGCTGTCAAGCTGCGATGTCATGGCAACTCTGTGGAAAACATTAAGGTGGCGTGGGTGGCCGATAAGTGTGTGTCGTGTGCCTACGCCAAGGTGGAGGAGCTCCAAGTCGAGGTAAATGGACTAAATAGCTTTTGTTAACCAGATAGAATTACTGACAGACATCATGCATCATCTCTCCATTTGATAAGTCATATGTTCCCATGAGCAAATTGTTTATTTATGTGAATGCAGCCAAACAGCTGCTTTAAGACAAGAGTACAGAGTACAAAAGCTCTGAAATTTCTTCGGTGTTGGATATTTTTGGTCTCCACCATTCACACAACAAACCAGCAACACATGGGGTTTTATCCATGCCTTTCAGATTCACCACACCAGGAACATGTCTGGAAAATTCATGTTTTTTTTTCGTAGGAAAGGAAAGTGAACTACTGCACACAACCAAATGTGACCTCTGCTTTTAACCCATCACCAAAGTGAAGAGTGGGCAGCTTTAAGCACCAGGGGAGCAGTGTGTGGGGACAGTGTCATGCTCAGAGCACCTCAGTGGTAACTTGGCAGCTGGTGGTCCACTTCTTTAACCACTAAGCCACCACTGCCCCCGCCTTTCCCCCCGAAATAAAGGAGTGAAAAAAAACTTCTAAAAAAATTTCCTAGCTCTGGAGACAAAATTGGAGCAAATTGTTGCAGGGATAGCAAAAAAAAAAAAAAAAAAAAGACCAAAACAAATTATAAAAAGGTTTTATAAGTAGATTCTTCTGTAAAACAAAAAGAAGCAAGCATAATCCAAAAAGATCGAGGATCAGTACTGGTCCGATGTTGGTCAAAATCTTAGAATCAACATATTAAAAAAATGGTCCCTCCAGTACCTAAGCTCAAATCCTCAACTTAACTTTTGACGTGCCATTAACGTGATTACTATTACTATTAAGTATTAAAGGCAGCCTGGATTGCAGTATCGGTATCGGACATGAGAAAGTCATATCAAACCATTCATAGTTTACAACTGGGTCACAATAAATAATGGCTTCTCCGTGTCTATGTTTTCCAGTTTTTAGGTGCTAAAATCAGTTGTTCCACTCCTTCAGGATCAGTAGCTTGAACTTAAAGACCATCAGTCAAATGACAGTCTCCTTTCTTCATCCGAAGCACAAGTCAACCACAGAAACAGACGTTACATTGACATCAGATGGTGGAACAGAGCTTTGGGCAGACCTCAAACATGTGACAGTCACCACATGAACTACACACACACAGGAAAACAGGAAAAAAAGTGTCCTCTGTTAACGGGTGAGGCAAACAAGCTGACAGAGCAGACGACAGAGACGGTTAGATGGATGAACTTGGGGTGAAAGGTCGAATCACAAGATATTTACTCGGGGACAGATGGACGGACCAATGAGCAGATTCGAGCACAGGGACAGATGGACGGACCAATGAGCAGACAGAGATAAACACACAAGTGAAGGAGTGGAAAGAAGGATTTCTCAACCGTCTCCTTCAGTTGGTGGTGACGTCACAGCGGGGCAGGTGATGAAAACATGCAGGCTCAGCGAGGTAGGCTGCTGACATGACAAACACACTCAATCACACGCACACACACATACACATACACATACCTGCTGGTATGGGAATTCATTTGTCCAGCAAACAGAAAATTTGTATTTTTTTTTAACTGTTTGAAATATTTAAAAAATAAATGCAAAAATGTGCAAAGAATAGGTCGTATATTATTATAGCTATTATTACAATCAAGGAATAAGGAATCGTAGTTAAACAGTCTGTTTTGCATTTTTATGCAATTTTGCAACTTTCGACTAATAAATGTGCTAGCAGGAGGAAATGGCGCAGATTTCTACAAGATATGTATACGTTGATTTGTACAGTTCTATATCTTATTTTTTCAGTTTTTTCACACACATATACGTACAATAACATATTATTTGCTTAGTTTTCTGCTGTTGTACATTTGTCAAAGACGTTCATGTGCTGCCACAGCTGAGAATGCCTCTTATCCAAGTAGCCTAACAGAGCTAGAAATCAGATGGAGTAATGCAAAGAAGATCTTTAGACACCAGAAGATAAACATACAGTACATTAACAAGGACATGTAAGCAGAGACAACAAATATCACAACAAATATCACAGTAAAATATACTTCATCTCATACTAAGCAGTGTTAAAACTGCAGCATAGCCACAGGTGTATTATAAAACTAACCTGCGTGTGTGACCATTCTTCCAATAATTAAAATTAGTAGATATTTTCTTGGTGCCAAATATACTTTTCAGAAATTAAAAGCCCATATTTTTCAAAAATACAAGTAGGACATAACCCAGTTCTTAGTACTGTTGTTATATAAAACAGGTTATGCAACAAAAGTCCTCCCCCCCCATCCCTCAGTTCTGGACTGTCAGTGTCTTAAAGCCCGGGTCTTAAATGAGGTGCTGTGTGGATGAAAAGCCATACAGTCCTGCTGGAGCCATACCAAGAATTTTCTGACTTCCACATCCACACTTCCACACACCACCTGCCCCCTCGCTCCCCATCTGCACATCCATTGGCCCTCAGGACAGTGTGGAGAATTAAGACAAGTGGGTTTGGCCTGTTGATAGAAGCATCTAGATTAAATCCAGACCCATGCTGTCGTCACTTTGTGTGTGTTTATGTGGAGGAGGAGGAAGAGGAAGAGGAGGGAGTGTGTGTGAATGGGTTCACCTTCAATAAAACTTAAACAAGATATTGTTCATCGTCAGTACTGCTAATGTAGGGTTTTCTGACCTGAATGTAACGAGTTAATCAAAGTTTTTTGGAGAAGCCCTGTTTTTCCCTCACTTGCTCACTCTCTCTCTCTCTCTCTCTCTCTCTCTCACACACACACACACGCGCACACACACACACACACACATTCCCCAGTTCTGAGGTCATCCCCTAGTGCTGCTTCGTGCTCCTCCTTGCTGTAAATTGCTTCATGTGAACCCAGTTTTTCTTGCGTCCCCTCCTCACCTCTGCTTTTCCTTTGTACACATTCTTTCCTGTGAAATCCATGTCAGAGTTCAACACCTGAAAAGAAAGGGAGATGAGTTAAACGCTGAGGGTTCAAGGAAACATACAGACACAAATTATGGGGCATAAATTATTTTTTTTAGCTCTGTCATTATGTCGTAAATTAGTCGTTTTCTTTCCACTGAAATTGAACTAAAGGTCAAAAAGTGCATCAGCCAATGGACTGAAAACATGTCAAAAACCATATGTACAAAAAACAAATTACATTGTATCACTTGACTGCAGTTCACTGTAGATCTGATGTCAACATGATATTTGACATATAAATATTTGTCAAACACTTTTTTCTCATTTTATATCTTAAATACAAATGCTGCTGTGTTACAACAGTAAGCCTGTCATTAATTGATTAATTAATGCACTAGTTTACTAGTTTTTTTAAGATTTTTGTCATTTCAAATTTTCATGGAATCTGTATGTGTTACCATGTTGCTTAACGTTGAACCGTCCAAATCTGTGCAACAACATTAACAGCAGATATTTAAGGTATCAGCACAAAAACTGAATTCATTTGTAGTTGAATGTGGCGTTCAGGATGGTTTCAGCATGAGATTAGAAGTGGTTTCTGGCTAGAGACCAAGTCATGGTGATGGTTTGTGAACAACAATGTTCTTTTTCATTATTTTAATTTAAAAATTATATTACAATAATATTGATTTAATGTTAATCCTCAGAGTGTGGATCATTTTAGAACCAGAAAGTTAAACAGGGCTGATTCTCTCCAGACCAAGATTATTGTTTTTATTATATCGATTTTAACTTGCCATATTCATTGTTTTTACTTTATTTACAGTACATAGAACATAACAGTTTAGTAATAGAGCATAGACTTAAGTGTTCTGTTCAGGCAGAGGTTGCATCAACATAACCACCCACAGACATTCCCTTAATCTCCTGCATTATCTGTAATGAATGTGTGAGAGAGAGACATGACCACATGTCAATTCATCACTTCAGAAGACAATGACTTCTTCCACTTCCTTTTGAACCATAAATAAAAGTCCTTCCACAGACCAATGACAGACATCACTGCCAGTGAGGGTAAAAAAAAAAGCTTATGTAAGTGTTTACATCACCATCACAGTAATTGTCTGTCCTACAGAATGCATATTCCTCTCTTTCATCATCTTCAATCATCATTTTAAATCCAATACACGCAGTCACTGTGTTAATGTGGATGATTACGTAACGAAAATGGCATGTGAGCTTGTTTGAGGTAAAGGTTATGCAAGAATTTGACTTGAATTAGCTGTAGCCTAAACTAATGTAAAACTTGCTCCTTTGGGGGTGTGAATTTGTAAAGAAAGCGATGTTGCGGGACTCCTTTTCAGGGTTACATGTAAAAGTAGTTGGAAGTGTACAGCTCCACCAATATGTGGTTGCTCAGTACTCTACTGTCTACGTATCAAGGTACATTTCTTTAATGAAGTGTGAAGTTGCTTGTCAACAAACCTAAATGTATTTTTTATTCCTCAGAATTCAGAGAAAAATATGATGCAATCTTGTGAACTGACTCTTACCACGCCCTGTAGGTTGAAGCTGGGTTAGTGTTGAAGTGCTTGGTCTTTGGGTTTGTGAGCAATCAGCAAGAATAATAGTAATACAATTCCTTAGATTCTAAAACATTCCAAACACGTGGACTCTGACCTGAACTTCTTCTTCTGCATTTTCACTCACTACCTCACAGGTTTCAGACCGACTCCAAACCACAAATGAACAAAATCTGAGACAACGTTCCTATTCTAAAAGACCTATTCTGTGCAAGAACAGGTTCCCTGTCTGCTGTGAGTCTTGATTAGTGTAATGAGAGAGAACGCAGCACAGTGGTTTAAGGTTTATGACGGAATTAGTTTGAAGTGGTTTATCTCTGTGGATTCAAGTAAGACAGGTCTTCACCGCCTTCGGCATTCTTTGAATGACTATCAGATAGGCAAACATCAATTCACTCTGTATATTTTGTTTTTCAAAAACAGTCAGCAAATGTCAGTGTAGGCACATTGTTGTTTCATTAGCCTGAACACAGACTCGGTCAGCTGGTGTTCTTCTGCCAATGTGCCCTGTCATCAAAATAGATTGTGCTGAAATTCCTCTGTTCTCTTGTCTTTACAACATGGTCAGATACAAATTGTCTTGCTTGACATGGATTGGATAATACTGCTTCCTCAACAAGTATTACAAAATTCCGATTTTGGTCCGTCCCTCTGTGAAGGAGGTCTAGGAAGTGGAAAGACCTTTCATGGTCAATGTTTAAAGGCGTTATTTTTAAATGTCAACTTTTGTAAATGAAAACGATTTGTTTTCACAAAGTTTCTTGTTGGAAGTTGGCTGACAGCTCCAAATTTCCCATACAAGGAAATTTGAAAGTTTGTTTTCACTCTGTAATAAAAAGTTATTTCCATTATTTGCAAGTGAATTTGACAGAATTTCCAGATTTTTCTTTAGTTTCTTGATGCGGCCTGACTTTTGTGTCTTTTGGAGTTATGGGATAAGGTTTATTGCATGACTTCATCGGCTGTAGAAAACGTTTTACTTTTGTAGAAATAATCCACTCCCTACATGGGCTTTCCTCAGTCGAACCTTATCAAGTGTGGAGCCTCATTTTGAAGTCACTGACATTTGGAGCTGCCAGGCTGTTGATAATCACAAAACTACTCCCGATGTTGGGTTTCCTCGGTCAGGGCCCCGCCTCCCCTGCCTCTCCTTGCACGCCTCAGTCAAATACATAGAAGCAACAAAGGAAGACCTTCAAAATAAAAGCACACAAGTCCTTCTAAGCAATATAAAACAGCAAAGTGTTTACTGGTCACCGCAAGGACTGCTGTAAAAACCATACGGAATTGAAATGTTCATTTCTGGAGTTTCCCAAAATAAACTACATTATAACATCATAAAATTCTCTTCCCATTGTCTTATCAGTCATTTTCAAGCAGTGCAGTCAAGACGTTTTTATAAAAAACAGGGCAATAAAATAAAATAAAGTCGAAAAAATATTATTAACGATTATACAAGGTACCCACTGGGTTTTTCTTCTACTCTTTCTCTAAAACAAATCACGAATACAAACAAAACAAAACATATTTGTGTTTGTTGAAGTTTCCCTTTAGTTTAAATCAATACTTTTTTACATCTGTAAATAAAGAGGTTGCGTTTATAAAGGACTGAGGTTCTATTGGGCTAGCGAAATATTTTCTTTTAATTTGTCAAAACGTTTCTAATTGCAATGCTTTTTTTTATATATATTTTTGATATTGATATTCAATCAGTATAAATCCAGTCCAAACTGCTTTTGTATTTTGAAAATCACCACAGGACGTGGCTCGCGCTGTGGTTGTCGACTTGACATCAGTCTGTCAGCCTCCTTGCTTTGGCTGAGCAACAGCATCTGTCTCGACACCAGACTCCACAGAGCGCGCAGTATGGATCCGTTACGCGTTTACGCACGGTGCGGTTCTCTTTGGCACTGTTGTTTTTTTTTGACACGCGCCTCTGACTGGTGACAGACATCGGACTCTGTGGTGACTTGTAAAATCTGCTTTCTGTTTGTATTTTTCAATACAGAAAAAAAGAAAACAAACACAGCAGGGTGGTCCGGACTCCGGTGGGACTTTTGCGCCCTGTGTCTGTGGCGCATACCCACTGTTTTTGGGCTTATTTCTTTCCAGGAACAGGACAAAATTAGCTGCCTCTACTTTTTTTGTTTGTCGAATTTATGTGGATTTCCCCCCCTGGACCATGGGAGACTCCGTGTTTCTCGACAGGCAAAATTCCTATCTTGTAAGTGTTGCTTTTATCTGGCTCAAGTGTAATGGCCTGGTCTTGATCTGATAAGGGGCGAGGACTTTCGGTCTGTTGTTGCATCTAAATATTTACCTTCTCTCACCCGTGTTCTTTTTTTGATCTCACTCTTTGCTAGTCATTGTGCATTTCCTGTAAAACATACCACTGAAAACAAGTTTTATCTTCACAGCCACAGAAAATGTCTTTGTGGAATATTTCTACATTTAACTCAACTGTCAGTCAGCAGGTTTTACACTGTGATCTTGCAGTGGTCAGTGTAAAAACCAACAGCAGACACACAGTCTTTAGAAAAGTCATGTGGATCTACAGAGGCAGGTGTGTGTTTTACACTGCAGAGATGGTGACCACATGGAGGCAAAACACACATATGGGTCAAGGCCAGGAGGGGCAGTGAGAACAGTGGTGACAAACTCAAACCCTCAGCGTTTTGGAGACCTAGTTTGATTATGTGGCACTTTTTCCCACTGCAACAACAGAGTTTAACAGGGGTTTTACCTTTGCTGATTTTCTCCTTTACTTTTGGTCTGCTGTTGGAGCAACTTCCCTGTGACTCTGAAGTAGCGTTTGTAGATCCACCAGTTTGTAGACCCACTGTCCAACTGTCTCTGGAACCAGTCTGCATCATGCTTTAAAATAATGTTTACAACCACCAAAATCAAAGGTTTGGTCAGGCTAGGGATCTTATGATGTACATTTGGAATACAGAGACTGTTGTTGTTGTCAGTTATTTCAAATGTATTGATTTCCCTGCCTATTTTGAAGCAAACAAAAATGAATTTCCTTTCGCCTTGAGATACGGTGAAGAGTGGCATACCAGGGGTGCTACAGCCAGCTGAGCTAATGTCATCCCACTGACTGTGATTCTTGCTGGATGTCACCCTGTGGAGGTATATCAGTTACATCTATCTGGGAGAAGCCCCTAGGGCAGAGTAAGAATAGAGTGAACGGATCATGTCTTTGTCTGTAGGTGTGCAACGACCCACGTGCACCACTGAGGTCATAACAATCAATCAAACAATCAAACTGAAAGTGAGTAAGGTTTCCAGTGCAGACGTGACAAAGGCATTTAGCTAGGAATCTTGACTGTAATTATTGTGCTGATTAGTAATTACCGTCCTTATTTTGTTAATAGGTCAGAGCATTAATCAGCCTCTAGAAAGGGCGGTAAAGTGACAGTGTTTTAGTGAGAATAATGAGGTGATGAAAAATCTTAGCAGTTTAAATTAAAACATGCCTCTGTTTCTCCAGTTGCATGTAGACAACAAGACATTTTAGTGCGTTCATGTGGGTTGTGCACAGCGGCACATGGCTCTTATAAAGCAGCAGAGTTTAGATTTATGTTTGGATGTTTACAGTGTTTAATGATTGAGGAATAAATATCCAACAAATCCATTCAGCAAGGTCATTTTTACCAGCTTTAAAAAAAGTTATGGTTGGTTAGAATTTATAAGGAAATACATTATTCAGGCTACATCTATTGGCTGTAAATTTGTTAAATATATTCTCAAGGAACTATTAAAGCACAACCTTATTAAAAGAGCAGCAGGTAGAGGAGTCAGATTTATGTCCTCACTGTGCGTCATGCTTAAATCCAAGCACAATTCGAGCCACACTGTTCGTTGTTGTCTCGTAAAATTCCCTAAACTCACTTGAACTCAGTCCAAGAATGCAAATAAAATTCAATGTGTCCTAATAGAAGAGTTTGACCTGTTTTGAATGGAGATGATGAACAAAACCGCGCTGTCATAATTCCTGCCAAGGCAGATCAATATTCATATTCTAGGTTAGAAGACTGGAGGCACACACAAGGATGGAACAGAGTGGGAGGGAGACAGGGAGCGGGTGAGAGGGATGTGCAACAGCACCTCTCGGTTGTCAGTGAGTAAACTTGACAACTGCACATTTGCTTCCCAGCATTGACGCGTGCGTTTAGGACATGCAGATGGAGTATAACTTATGTGCTGCCATGAAAGAAGTTTTTAGAAACCTAGAAATTTTAAATTTCCATGGTTTTGGGATGATAACGGTGGGCCAACCCTCCAGTCAGGAGGAAAAAAAAAAAACATCTTTCATCCAAGGTTTCTTTCTACAAAAGCGTAAAATTAAACAGAGTTAAGGAGAACACACCACAAAACAAAACATTTACTTAAGAAATGTACTGTTGTAGCATATTTGTAAATCCTTCATACTGATACTAAATAGGTGAAAACTAAGCGATACATTGCAGTCAACAATAACAAGGTCCATACATATTCACGTTTTTGTCTACACACATAGTTTTACTGTCAAAGGAGAGATACTTTTTGTAAGATACTGACAACATAAAACAATGACCCTGAATGATTAGTTGAAATGCATTTGTCAATTCTTTATCAACTGGTTGATCTTCACAGAACCACAGTTCTTAGGATGTTTCAGCCACTCACAATGAGTGGAGATGATGGAGATGATTTTTCTGCGACATACGTTTTGTGGAGATGATTTTTCTGCGACATACGTTTCAGTTTTTGTGGCTTCTGATTTACAACCCTATCAGTGCGGTGGGTGGAATAGAATGCCAAGCAGCTTGGGTTTTTTGAAGGAATTCTGTGTTTTTTCTCATTCACTCCATCTGGCTTATATTTATTCTACATTTTCAAGATAGCAGCTCAGGGTTAACAAAAACAACTGATGAGAAACTAGGACAACAGCAGTCAGTCCTCCATCAAGTGTGTTGACTTAAGTCAGGGCATACGTTATGTGCATAGCAAAAACAAGTGCAGATAGAACAAGGAAGTCTCTAAATAATAGTTTGCTAAGCTCTAGCCAAACAAAAATGACTATCCCTGTCTGTGTCCTGAAGCCTTCATTTGTCTATTTGTTTTGAATTTAAAATTTAAATCAAATATATTAAGAAGTAACTTTGCATTTTGCTATGCAGGATATGAGGAGGACATGATGAAAATGATGGATTACCTTTTTTCTCCTTTCTCAAATTGTTTCTTTTGTCCCTGGGAGTTGTCTCTCATCACTGACCAAACAGCTGTGGTTTTCGCCTGAAAGGCAAAGACCAGTGCAGCCCCCATAATAGCTACCTGTTGGGGCAAATACCAGCTCTCCTTCCATTTCTTGACTTTTGGCAATGGTGGCATCATTTATTTTAAAAAATAAAAAATAAATAATAACCCAACTCAACACTGAACGTTTTCATAAAACTGTGTCCTTGTCTTACCTGCTGATGTGTGACCTTGATCTATCACTGGAGCCGTGTTTGTTTTACTCCCCTGCTGCTCCTAGTACAAACAGCTCAGGAAGGGAGCAAGCCCTACAGTCATATGTTTCACAAAAGGAATTCTGTTGACGGAGTTGGAGTAAAAACACTCCTGAAGTTCCATCCTTAGTGCAAGAAACTTTAATAAACAACCATGCATGTGTGTGTGTGGGGGCGGGCGGTATTAACTAGCCATATGGCTCCTGAGTCATCAGCACGGCGTGTTTATTTACACTGATCTCACGTGTTTTCCTAAGCAGAGTGCGAACTTTGCAGAAGTGGACATTTTGTTCACAGAAGTGTGATTACCAGGAATGCTGGGACAATTGTTTCAGCTTTACTCGCACAAATTAAACTTTCTGGGTAAATTGCTGGTTTCTCGAGTAACTGTTGTTTAACGTTAAGCTTCTTGACTCCAGTACCATGTAGGACACTTGGTATTGCATAGGGACCACCATTCCCACTTGGCAGGAAAAAGGAAAACCAACACCTTTGGCTTGTCATGACAACACAGCCTGTCAACTCATTTTTCTTCCCCGATGCAGTCAGGGAGAGGCACTTTTACTATCAACACTGAAAGAGAGGTCCGCCCTCCTCAAGACTTGTCTTTTTATGGAGACGGACAGAGAAGAAAACAAAGCAGGAGAAAGATGGAGAGGAGAAAGTCCTGGGAGGAGCTTCTCCACCGTTTGTTGTGGGAAATGTGCTTCCACAGGCAGAAGTTGTTCTCCCAAGACTGAACTAAATATGTGCTCTTGATGTTTTACAGAGTTTGATTTAGAGCTCCAGCTCCTGCCCTTGTTTTCCTCATGACTTCATCCCGAGAAGTTTCTCTTGTGGTGGGGAAAGTGAGGGGAGTTGGTAAGCTGGGTCAACAAGAGGTTAGGCATGTTTTCTGGCCGTTTGTGTGACAGGCATGTGGGCAGGATGTCAGTCTTGTCATGGTGAAGTGCAGAAGTCTGACCTCATAGATGTAAAGGACTATAACAACACGTTTTGCTCCATGTGCCAGTGTTGAAAAAGTGTAAAGAACAGAATATTCCTTCTCTAGAAGGAAATATGCATTTTACTTTTGATGACTGTTTGTATACATACATTTTTATTGTGATTTGTAGACTAGTCATTGTCTGTTTTAGATGCCAGCTAACTTGCTCTTTCCTTCTCTTTGTTTTAATGGTAGTTCTGCAGCTGTAGATTTCACTACTGCCCCCTACTGGGTCTAAGTTTTACTGGTAAATTCCCATTATGTTGTGTTCCATTTTATACTAAAGAGTTGATCAAACAAATTGCCTTGATCTAAAGATCGAACACATGATTGTTTGTTTTGTACGTGACATATTTGCACCACCACCATGTACACACATCATTCCACATGTACTAGATTATAGGAACAGACTGTGACTGTGACTGTGACCTGTTAATATTTTTAGGACTTCGCAGACAGTCATTATTACAAAGCCATTCCAAAGTACATATGCTTTCCATTTAACCTTGGACGACAAACATACACGTGATACAGGCTTGACTTCAAGTGAGATATACTGAGTAAAATGCAAGCGACACCCAGAGTCAACCTCAACCAAGCAACCAATCTGGACTGCATGCAGGCCAGTCAGGCCTATGGACTCTACGTCTAGCAACGTTGTGTAATTAGTTTAGACTGAGGCATGGCACTGAGCTGGTAAAAAATTAAATTACAGGGAAAACAAGCCCGTTCACTTTGCTACAGTTTATGCAGAGAGATTTCTCCAGACTCCCCGTGACTTTTCGGGGTCAGAGACCTGTGATGATGGTACAGCTTCTGCTAAAGTCTGTGTTTGTCGGAGATCGTTTGATAGTCGCCGCTGTGCTGGTCCAAACGACATGCCTAAAATATTTGTGCTCTTCATTGATTACTGTCCAGTGATTGCAAAAGATAAAAAAGGGAAACAGATAAATTGAGATAGATAAAGTGCAGATGCACAGAGACAGACCAGGTGACACAGTCAAATGTCTAGACCGGTGGCCCCTCTCTCTATCTCTCTCTATCTCTCTCTATCTGTCCTCGAGAATATGGATAAATGGAATCTTTAGAGTCAGGCTAATAATGACTGAAATAAAAACTCATGTGTGTAAGGTGTGTATTAAATCTAGTCCAAATCCTTGCCCTGGAGTTCAGGAGACCTTTGACATCTAAGTGGATTAGCAGCCCTTCAGGCTGCCACTGGAATGTGTCTGTGCCAAGCCACACCGTACACACACACACACACAAACACATCCATTCTATCATGGCTTGCTCAGTGTTTACCCACCAGTCTATTACGGTCTATTAATATTCCTCCACACCCTTGTGAGGCCTTTGTTTTGCCTTTATTCTCCAGAGCCAGATTGGATTTTGATGAAACCAACAGAAATGACAGCAGATCTGTGGCCATTTTTACATTCATACACCATGAACACTAATGAAGATAAGCAGTTTTCCCCCCCATTCTCATCTAGAATTTCCATAAAGCTCTGTATAATCTAGTGCTTAGCTCAGAATTTGTAACTTGCCTATTATTCCAAAAATAATTACCTGTTTAAAGAAAGCATTTTTATGTGCCTATTTCCTTGAAGCAGTAAATACCTTGTGTGGAGTGTAGATAAAGCTGTGACCCTCTTTTCTCCATTGCCCCAGGAAAAAGGACCAGGATAGTCAATGAGGAATGCGTTAGGAATTTAAACTGAAGATTGTTATAATCTGTGTAGACAAATATTTAACGCAAAGAGGTGACAGTATGTAAATAAGAAGAGTATGTGTTTGTAAGTAGGGTGAAGATAGCCGGCTGAGTGATAAAATGCTGAGTAATGGATGAGCAAACAAATCTCCTTCCATCAAATGGTGTCACATGCATCATTTACTTTGTGCACAGTATTTATTCCACCTTTGGCATCACATTTTTTTTTAAATCATAATACTTTTATAACAAATGCTACAAAAGATAATATATATTTGAAAAGACCTGAGAATGATTTAAGCTTTTAAATGTATGTAAGAGAAAAGAAAAGTCCATTGTTTCCTTTTGTATACAGAGGTGTTTTCAAAAAAACCCAATCCTCTTTGTTTACACTCAGGTTCAGTAAAACACACAAAGCTTTGACAAGGTAGAGAAAGGTTTTGGGTTTCATCTTAATCTCACTGGGATCTTTGTCAGACTTTGTTTGAAGGTCAAACTTCTGTGACAAACACTGCCTGTTTAACGTGTCAATGGACATGGAAGTGTTAATTCACAGAAATGTCAAACAGTGAGTTTTTTTCTTTAATTCAGTTCATTATAATAGCTTCAAATAAATCCAATAAATTATTTTATTTAGATTTGTAGACGAGAAGATGTTCAGGGAATTTAAGAAATAGATGTCTTAAAAGACATTTATGAGCCCCTGAGTAATTCCAAACAAGCAGGCCAAAGGATAATTACAACTACACGTTTGAGAATCATACCAAAACTTACTGGCCCCAAATAACTTTTAAATTGTGATATGTAACAACAGAATGTTTGTTTTATAGCTTTGTGAGGTCAGCTTTGTGGCATTACTGCCCCCTGTGAGATCTATTCAGACGCACGCTGAAAACTGATGAGCAAGATACAATAATAATAAAGGATTTTCCCACCAAACTGAGTTCAGATTCTTTGGCCACCTACATAATTTTGCCGGATTCCTTTTACAGCTTTAAAAATAAAGTGGAGCAGAGTTGTCTCTGAGGACCCGATGGTGGTCACATATCAGCTGTTAAAATGTTGTGCTGCAGGCTTTGTTTGGTTTAGAGAGGAGATGATAAGTCGTTTACAGCGGTCATTAAACACCTCGTTATCAGCATCTGTTCAAAAGGTGGTTATTATTGAAAACACTTTACTGGGTTTGTTATTTACTGGCATATACTGTATGTATTGACAGACACACGCTCCAGTCAATTCAAAGCTGGCTGAGTCAAGCAGGGCAGCAACACAGCAGAGCTGTTCTCATTCCCTTTCCGCTGGGAAATCAATAATAGACCAGCTGACCCTGATGTGACCTGTGCTAGGGTTGCACATTCACACACATACGCAGACATGCACACAAACACACGGTCATATCCCCTGTTCGCAGAGAACAAAGCAGCGCTGGGTAGTGACGGGTGTGGCGAGGGTCTCCAGGAAGTTACACTCGCTTCAAACTTCCTGGCCTGAAAAAAGGCTGAAAATGTTGATTCGATTATTTCGGAGGACTTTTCCACAGATGGCTTGGCTTGGCTGTCCATATATATATATATATATATATATATATATATATATATATATATATATACACAGTATATTACATGTATAACATTGGAGGATGTTTCATTGATTATAAAAAAGTAAACACGCAGTTTCCTCCTGATTTTGCTTGCCAGGGAGTGGACAGACACCCTTGATAAAACATTAATCCCTTGATAAATGGTTTGTTTCTGTATGGAATAAGAATATTTGTCCCTTGATGAAAAAAAAGATAAATATTAATTTAATGCTGGCATGCGAAACAAATGTTATGCTTTAAAATAGTTGACTTATTGTTGGGAATGTATAAGGTGGATGATAATGAAATATATATACATTTTCACAGATTTTAGAAAGTGTTATTCTCAAGAATGTGAATTTGTCATTAGCAGTGTAGCGTGGTTAACTGCCGTGATGCTGCCCTTTGTGCGCATTTTCTCTTTGACCTATTTCTGTGGCAAAAAAGGTTTGCCTGATGAGAATAATATTAAATTAGGTGGGTGTGTATAACAGGTCATCAACTTGTCTATTACCCATATAAAACATACCTTTTGGTTGAAAATATTTTTAATTGATGTATTTTATAATATTAAAAAAAGGATGGTATTCCAGAAACATTTGAAGCTACATGCTCCGTTTTTTAGCCAGATGCAAGAGTTTAATATTTTGTTTTATTGTTGATGTCCAACATTTGTAATATATTGATTTATTTTTTTCATGTTGTGCAGCCACAATTATCTAGCATGAAGGAAAAACTCTGTCTTTGGCCTAGAGGCCTGGAATTGACTGTGTCTAAGCTTGGTCAAACATTCCAGTCCAGTCATGGAAGTCTCCCCATCTGAAGTCCTTACAGACTGTCTCACTCCTCCTACTGCAGGATGAGACTTGGGTATAAAAATGAAGCCTTCAAGTCTGGGTCACAAATGAAGCGGAACTCATTGGTTGTTTTCATGTGGAAACAAAAAGACTATTGTATATCCTGGAAAAGTTTTTTTTCCATCACTGTTGGCTTTCTCTAAAACGACTGCTTTATACTACGTCTGTACATTTTCAATTAAACTTTTATATATTTTTATTCTATTTCTGTGTGTTGTGCAATGCACACGTGCAATCTCCATGTGTGTTTGAGCATAAGTCCGCCATGTGCTTCACGTAGTGACCCGCAGCTCTCTGCCGCTGCTCCATCATCTTTATCATTAGATTCTCAGCATCGTATAATCCCCGCTCTTGGACTGCTGCACAGGATTATGCAGGAGGGAGGGATGTAGGGAAGGGATTAAGGAGGGAGAAAGTCCAATGTGGCATCCATGTGGAAAACAAAGAGCCTCACACTCTTAGCTCCAATCTTGCTGTGTTAAATAGATACAATTAAAGTAGTTTGAAGAGGGGCAACAGAGAGAGGGTCTTGCTACTGCTACGTAAAATAAATTAACCGTGTCCTAATAGGATCAACCTCCTGCTTTCAGTGAAACATAAGGAGGGAGGTGTGAAGACTGCACTCTCATATTTGAGTATATGGAAGCCAATCAGCTGTACACACATGCATGTGAGACAGCAGCTTGGACGTTATCTCCAAGGCAGTACTTCCTAACTGGATATCAGCACAGCTCAGATGTCTGTTTATAGAGGTTTTTGGTGAGGAAATCAACTTTACTAAAACTCAAGTATTTATAAGCCACACCGTACAACTTTTGGGTTAATTAAGAAATGAGAAAAAAACTGATTGTGATAGGGAGGAGAGGTGGAGATGTGTTGAGGAGAGATGGTGGATAAATTGTACAAAGGATGTTGGAGATGAAGCTGCCAGACAAAATGTGGATGTGAAGACCTCAGAGGAGGTTAATGGGTGGTGCTGAGGAGGCAGGGTGAGATGATCTGCTGTGGTGACCCCTGAAGGGAACAACTGTAGTCAGGATAAGAAGAAAAAGAAGAAGCGCAAAAGGGAGAATACATGAGACAATCTTGGAAACATGTCAAGAATATTTCAGACTCAAAACCAACCTTATTGGCCAAGTGTGAGTGCACATGCAAAGAATTTGACTCTGGCTTTTCATAGCTTTTGATTTGAGGACAAACTCAAAGACAAACTGGACAAGATGTTGTGTAAAACAGCACGATAGGACAAAACATTTGACAGTGAAATAGACGTTGTGGGTGGTAGAGATTTACAGTAGGATTTATTTATTTATTTTGCTTTTGCTGTCTATTGCCAGGGGTTGACATTTAAAGGCATGTCCTTAAATACAATATCCTTTCTTTTTTTAGTCACCACTGCTCTGCCTCTGTCTGGACAGAAAGAAAAAATGGGACACAAAAGTCTGGGGTTGGAGTTAGGAGAGCCTTACACTGCTCTTCATTTGTATGTACATTACAAGACAATTTGAATTTAAAGAACTGGAACCATACATGTAAAGACCTCTGTGTCACGGATCTTTGGCAAAGACGCCAGTTTTAATCACTTATTCCATTTTTCCAGAACATTCCAGAATTGCTGGAGTGGCACATTAGGCCGTAGAAGCCTGTATGTTATCCTGTTCTCACAGTGCAGACGCAGTGGAGCGCTCAGACAGCAAAGGGATGGATGGGAATAATACACTCCCGGGGCCACTTACACAAGCATTGGGACTGATTGACAGATGAACAACACAGAACAGAAGCAAACACACTGTGACCAGTACAGTACATGTGTCATTTGTTTATGTGCTCTAAGAAAGAAGTACTGAACTTCCCTTATGTTGTTTACCAGATCTAAACATTTTACGTATGTAGTTATTAACCATCATGTGACATTTTTCTTTGATTATACTTCTGAATCATTCTGGATCAGATACCAACTGTTCCCGCTAGCGGCCTAAACTTATATTGTTGAATGGACCTAAAAGCACAGTTCTTGGTGGGCCACAACCCAGGAGTTACATAGGAGGTTGACAAAGGACTTAAATGCAGCACTCAGAGGAACTTTGATCAGGTGTAAGGTAGTTTCTTTCAGATAATTCTTTCTCAACTCACAGAAACCAGAGTACTGCAGGAACAGTCACAGAACCTCAAGGAAAACATGAAGCACAATCAACTACACACAAACCACAGAACAAGCCCAACACACAGCAATGACCAAACAAAAGAAGTGAGAGAGCGAGAGAGGTGTATTTATACCCAGGGCACCAGGTGAGACGAGTGAGGCTGATGACCAGAGAATCACAGGACACAGGTGAGGGTGATGGAACTAATTAACCCAGGAGAGACACACATACACAGGTGCACAATCTAATCAGGGAACTTTTAAGATCTTGACTCAAATAACTTTGTTAGTGGAACAACTAAATATTCTTTCCCCCATTTGCTTGTTAAAAAAGCAGAACATTTTTATTTATGTTCCCCTTTTTAAAGGTTTAATTACATCCAAAACATTTCCTTGTAGTATTGAGCCTCTGATGTTTGATACATAAACAAACACACACAGCCAAATAGTCCTTTTAGTTGAATGTTTTTTCAATACATCCATTTGGACCCACTTGAGCTATGGAAATGTTTCCCATCATGCCTTGCAAATAAAAATTTGCAATGCATGAAAAGGGTGTGGACCAACAAATCCTCGTTGCATTTTCAACAGCTGCTGTCCGCCTCACTCTTCACTTAATGTGATTAATGATGTTTGACTGACAATAGCCGAGCGATTATTATGGACAAAAAATACAGTTATTGAGGACGGAGAAGTATATATGAGGCAGCATGAAAAGTTTGATTATTCAATTCAACACATTATCTGTCACAGTCTTAGGCTGAGAAGTCTGAGCTCTTTCACCTTTCACCATCTTTCACCACCATCTGCTAAACAGCTGACCTAATCACTTTTGCACCTGTATAGTGACGTACATTAAAATAACAGAGAGAGACATACAGGTTTAACCTGTATTTGGGACAAAAATGTCACTGGTGACACCTGACCATGGCTTCAGTTTTTTCTTCTTTTGGTCACTGCTAATCATTACACACAGAAAATGATGATAAAAAAAATTGGACTATGCTTTAGAACATATGTGTTAAACTAAAGGCACAGGGGCCAAATGCGGCACGCCAAGCCATTTTGTGTGGCCCGTGGGGGCTTAAAAAGCATTTAGTAAATCCCATGCAGCAGAGTTTCTTGACCAAAGAAATATTTATATTTTTTTAAACAATCAAATGATAATCAATTGCCGAAACATGTATTAGTCCGTTATGGAGTAGTTACATCTATACCAGCGGTCCCCAATCTTTGTTGTTCCAATGTCTGGTCAAAATCTTTCAGACTCTATTCTCTTTGTATCAGATTCACATAGCCTATTATTTTAAAATATTGCCAGATTATCTTTAAATAAAGAAAGTAAATGAATATGCCAGGATTGTCTTTGAATGATGTAAATTAGCAAAGACATTTAACATTTTTTCACTGTGTCCCACTGCAGCCAGGTACTAAATGACCTGCGGACTGGTACTGGTCCACAGACCAGAGATTGATATATACAGCCTTCCATTTACAACCATTTAAACACCATTTAAAGGGAACTGTATTAATGATGTGGCCCCCGGTGAAAATGAGTTTGACACCCCTGCTTTAGAACGAGGGAACCTAGCCAGAAAATAACTATAATGACGAACTTGATTACAGGCTGCCAATTAAAATGTGCTAATAGTAAATGCTCTGAAACATTGTATGCATATAATCTGTCATCAGACTGCCATCTACAAATCACTTCAGTCACACTTGCACACACACACGCATGCACACATTACCTCAACTACCATGTTGATGCAATTCCTGACTCTCTGCTCACACAAACATTATGTAAGTGCTCAACGCTGGGCCTCATTATTGCTCCTGGCCCCTTCGTATTAATCTGTCTTTAAAATGTTTCAAGTTCATTGGAGTCTTCAGATGTGTTGCCAAAGATTTTGGGAAGGGGGGGGGGGGGGGGGGGGGGTTGATTGGACACTGGAGTTGCTCATTCCTAAGACGAAGCCAAAAGCACTCATTAAAAGCAGAAAGAAGGCAGCGTTACGAAGCCAGGAAGCATGTAATTAATCTGAGCCAGTTTTTGGCTTAAGGAACTGGAACTTGAGTTAAAACATCATCCCAATAATCATCATCCAATCAATATTTTAACACAATATTTGACAAATATCAGAAAATAAAACCTAAAGGTTTTGACACGTGTGTAAGTCAGAAACCTTCATTAATCCACAGTAGAGTGAAACGTCTGCAGGTGTCACTCAATGTCAAGAGAACTCTGTTTTTTATTTATTATTAGAAATTAAAAGCAGAAATTAAGTTTGACTTTTCATCAATCATTTTTTTATTTTGTTTTTCTATTGCATGCAGGTATATTTTATTATCATGTACTCACTCCTTGGCTGAAGCAGTTATAACTTATTTTTTAGTTTAACTTTATTTTCCAATAAAACAAAGCCCAAAATAATGGTGTTTGCCTAATAAATATAACAATAATAATAATCATAACCTAGTGAGGTTTTACTGTTTCCTGCTGTGAATCATTCTTGTAGTGTTTCCCAACATGCAATTTAAATCAGAAAATATTAGGCAGATTAAAGTTCCAGTATGACTTTAATTACTAAGAACTGTGTGCTGAATTACTAACTCTCCTTTCTCTGTGTTTCTGTGGTAAATTGTAATAATTAGCTTTTTTTAACGTAACATAGAATTAAAGGTGAACGTATCATTCAACAACCAATGATAAACCTAAAGGCATGCATTACATTCAGTGGTGAGACATGTTTTCACAGAGTTGTTTTTTCTTATTTGTCACTGTTGCTGGACGTGTACGTGTAGAAGCCTGCACAGCCACAGACAGCGGTGGTTGACCAGAGCAGGGTTTGTGAGTAATTACAAGCAGATGGGAAGCATGAGCAGGTTCCAGGTCAGTAAAAGTGATCCATTACATGCATGCATGACGCCGACCTGTAAAAGTGAAAAGAAGTGGTGTGTGTGCATTCCTTTGGTTCAGTGTAGTGGTACAGTAACTGCTCAAGGGCTGTTTATAAGCCAACTGAAACACAAAGTGGAGAATTTACCCTGTGGTGTCTTTATTTCCCAAACACATGGCTCCAATACAAGGGCAACCAAAATGATAAATACAAATATACAGTATATATGTATATATATATATATATATATAAACCACCCTTACATTGTGTGGATCTTCACTCACACATTTGATCTTCAGTCAATTTGGTCATTTAAAATTGTTTTGTGATGTCACCAGTTGTCTTGGAGTGACTGCAACACTTGTTCTGTTGTCCACAAAGTCAAATCATTGAATAGATTAAGATTTAAAGACACAAATAAAACCCTCTGACTGGACACATTTGCATTTCCTTTGTTTCAACCTGAGGATTTAAAGCCTTCGAGTATTTATTTTTTTTTGTCTTTCTGGAATGAGGATTTGCTTCATCGTGTCTATTTTTGGTCGTATTCAGATTGTTTCTTTTTTTTCCCAACAGCACTTGAAGGCAGCTTCTGCTGCATATATTTTGTGGAGTAGCTGATTGAAGATTCTCTTCTTTTGTGTGAGCAGATGGGCAACAGTAGTTGTGGTCAGTTGCCATGTTATGTTGCCATAGCGCTGCAGGTTCCGTAAATGGTATAATTTTTGAATGTTCGCGTTTAAGTAGTAGTAGTATTTCAATATTTACATATGTACTTTGTGATATGTATTCTGTAGCATATGAAATTATATTTTGTAATAATAAGTACTTTGACATATATTAGGTGTTGAAATGAAACAAGCCACTTGAAAACTGTTGTTTACAGAGAACAGATTCTGATTTATGCAGCAACAAGTGTCCCACTGGTTCCCTGCATGCGTTACCATGGTGATATTTCTCTCACTTCCCTTGTCCTTGCAAATTTTTCTCTTTATGCAATGCCCCGCAGCTGACGTGTTCTTTTTTGTTTCTTTTTTTGCCATAACTTTTACGACATTTGTCCCTGTCTTTCTGAATTATAACACACGAGGTTATGATGCATTGCAGTCTGAGACCAAATGGTATTAGTCATCGAGCAGCGTGGGTCCAGACCAGGCAGCAGAGTCGTTAATCTTTCCAGAGGAACATTTGTTAGATGGAGACAAAGCAACAAGGACTCAACAATAACAGAATCACACGATTTGAAAACAGCATTGGTCTTAAACTTCTGGCTCCTGGTCCACATTTGGTCATCTTTTTTTCCCCAGTTCATTTTCCATTGCTTTTTGTTATTTTTCCATTTAAGTATACTGCATTGTAAAGGGCTTCCCACATTACACCATTGATACCACCTCCTCTGCTGTCACCTTGCTCCATACATATTTCTTTTTTGTTTTGTGCCAATATAATGATCTATCATCAGCCTACTGTTGTTACCAGGTCATAATAGGTCTTTTTACCATCTTATAAAACTGCCCGTGACTATAGCTTCTCTTTTGCTATCTTTTAAATATATGTGTGTCGGTTGATTTGAATAGTTGTCCTGAGGTTGTCCACTGTCCACTGTCTTCACTTCAACTTAGTTCCTCACCTCTCTCCTGATCTAAGTCAGTGTAAGTCTAAGTCATTTCTTACCTGTCATGCTGGAGTAACTACAAAGCTATTTAATACAGGTTAGCAACTGTAGCTAATTAGCTAATCCATTATTGCTTCATCTTGATTTTTAGGGGCTGACAGACACCTCTGCAACTTTTAACTTGCACTACTGCCACCCTCTGGGTTTGTTGTCTACTAGTAAACATTGTTACAGAGGTACAATGCATTCACTTTAAAATAAGAGACTTATTAAAAGCATGCTCACAGTGGTTACCCACAAATTACTTTAAAATATATACATATTGACTTTAAATTTATCAGGAAAATGCTAAATTATTAAATAGACAAATAGAAATTTGTTCTTTGGAGCCAGATACAGTGCTGCTTAGCAACCAGCCTTATTTTGGAGAGACAAACATTAGCGGTGAAACCACTGTGACAGTAGCTGCGTGGTGTATTTGTCTCCCTCTTGGCTGTTTAAACAGTGTGACATCTTGCTAAGCACTGGTTTCACACAGGGAGCATAGCTGCACTGCAGCCTGACGTATCTGCAGAACCAGCAGTGAAGCAGCGGTGTTATTAACACGTGATCCCGTCAACCCCATGTGGTTTTGTAAAGACTGGATATGATAATATTATCCATGTGCATGTTGCAGCTCATTAAGGAACAAGGTATTAGCATTAATGGCTAAGAGAGATTATCACAGTCTCAACATGAGCCTTGTATTTCATGGAGGAAAGGAGTTTTTTTTTATGATCAAAACAATATTTTGAACATTATTTTGCCATAACATTATGGTCAAATGTTTGGGACTGACTGACTTTGGCACATGTACATGTGAAGGAGTGACTTCCCTGCAGGTTGAAATGTTGGAAGTGAACAATTTCTTGTACCCCAAAAGCAACATTCTCTGATGTGAGCAATTCAGATCTTTAAGGAACTGGACTTGGTTGTGTTAATGATCACATGATGTCTTGGTAATCAGCTTTCCAGAGGTTGGACTAAAAGAACCAAAGATCATCCAGCCCTTTTACAAATCCTTCTGGGGGAACCAGTTTAACCAAAGGAGGGTCTTTAATTCTTCCCTGCCAGATTTTGTGTGGGGATGAATGTCCTTTAGGCTGGACAGCGAGGAAACGGTTTTCATCAAAGAATCGCACATGTGGTGTGAGAAATCCTACAACTCGAAAAGTTGAATGAAAAACACGAAGTCTCAGGAAGTGGTCACTCTTTTGTTGCAGGGGCCAAAAAATAAGAAGGCAAAAAAAAAAACAAAACAAACAAACAAAAAAAAAAAAAAAAAAACAGAGACACAACACAGTCCACTTGTAAGCCCTCTGTCTGGATAAAGCATTAGATGAACTGAATCTATGTCTCCTCTGTTTGCTTCCCTCCTCTCTCTCAACCTCTACCTCCTCCTGACCTCTTCTCTTGGTAGACACAAAGGAATGCATGACCAGAGTCTCAAAGCCAAAGCACATCCCCTGTTTTTCAGCCATTCATTACCACTGATTTTCACTTCACTTCAATCAAAGCTGCAACCTCAACCTGGGGAAGGGAAAAAGGCAAAGTTTTCTATGTGCTCTAGCTCTGCTTAAGCGCCACTCCTCCTCCACATGTGCTATGCATTCCCAGATCCATTTAATGTGAGTGCAGAGAAGATATTGGTAGTCCATCAGTGGAAGGCTTATGTAATAAAAGAGTCCTCGTATGCTCCCAAGACAAAGATAGAACTTTTTCCCCCCTCTGGTGTACACACTGTCTCTCTGTTTACCTTTGGAAGCAGGCAACCTTAGTCATATACATTCATCTAGCTTTGTCTTCTGTAGTGTAGATGTCACATTATATAACCTCAGTCATTTTCCACTGGGCGTGGAAACCATCTGGAGCTGGTTGACGGGTTTCTTCACCTGTCCTTTCAGGTTGAAGGAGATTCAACCTGAAAACGTCGTACAGTTGGCAGGATAAAGGTAGAATTACGCACATAGAGGAACAGTTGAAACAGGTAAACTACACTGTAATGGGGAAAATTACAAACCTTAAAATTGTGCTTTAAGTTTTTGCGAATTGAGGGTCAATTTAACCTCTGTGTTGTCCTTTGGGTCTAGGTGACCCAGTGGCTGATAATATGCCTTTGTGTGTGTGTGTGTGTGTTCCTGTACTGCACAGCTTGTGCCAACTTTTCCACAAGACAAGATGAAAACCCATTGCGAGGATGCTGGGTGTGCACAAAATGTGAAGGACAACGGGAATCTGGATTGTTTTCTAGGTCTTGATGAAAATGTGCAAAGTTGGTCCCGAAAAGAAATGTAGATCATCTATGCCCTGGCCGCTGAGGCATCAAGTTACCATCATACATGTTTATTTTTGTATCGTTCATTAAATTGGTATTTTACCATCTTTGACATGCAGAAGTCCTTGGATGGCCTTATCACGCCTACCTTACACATAAGCCTTACACACAGATGGTCCTGGGTTTGAGCCCCAGAGGAACTACATGCTAGATAGACTCACACTGCGAATGTGTTTATTGCATAACAAGAAGGTGTACCTACTCTCCTTTCAACAGGGGATATTTGACATACTTCTATAATTCCCACTGTACATTAATAGCAGCAGTTCAATTGTTATCTTACAGCAGGAAAACCCATTGTTATATAACCTACTGCAGATAACATATTCTTTTTCAAAGTGTCAACCTACTGTTTGTGTTAATGACAGGGTGATTTCACCTGGAGCAGCCTGTCGGGCCGCAGTGTGCGCCTGATGCCAGTTTCCATCCAGAGCCTGTCGGAGTTGGAGAGAGCCAGGCTGCAGGAAGTGGCGTATACGCGTTTACACCAGGACTATGACCTGGGATGTCAGATCACCATTCCAAAAGGTTCTTGTGTGTGTGTGTGTGTGTGTGTTCTCATGCATATGTCAACCACAAGTTAAAGAGCGTTACATAATTGTTAGTTGAAAGTACCATATGGGTGGAATTTACTGTGTCAACAGACTTCAGATACCATCAGGTTGTAAAGACATGACATTTATGTGACTGTTAACTGATGGGAAGTTGTGTTTCTCAACTACTCTGCTGCAAACACTACTACAGACCAGCCCAAGCTTTTTGTGCAGATTCTTCCAAGTCTGCCATAAATCACAGCCGGTGATTTATCCTCCTACTCCATCCCTGGAATCATGCATGGTCTTGGTAAACTGCACTTTACAGCAGGATTGGGTTCTTCCTGTTTGAACCCCAAAACACACTCTACACCATTATTACATATCCTCTCCTTCTGCAGTGGATTCAGTGAGTTCACTGACCCTACGAGTATCCTTGAACCACGTAACCTGCACGATTTACTCATTGTTGCATAAGCAGAACGTGTTTGTCCAAATGTCTAACAACTGTGTGCTGCTGTTGTAAACTGAGCCATAAAATGAATTTGTTTAATAAATATGACAAAACAAGATACATTAAGCCAGATGTAGCCAAAATGGACAGAAATAGAAAACCACAGCACCATTTTTCATTATAATTTCATTATTTTTTTTATGTTTTTTTATGTCATGGTTTACGGTCAGGATTCATTCCTAGTGACTGCTTGTGCTATGCATAGATATGTAGCTATGATTTAATATATTTGGAGAGTAAAACACATATTTTTTTTCCTTTCTTTTTTAGAACAGAAACACATTATTCAGACTGTTTTCTTTACATTCTACTGGAGTGCAGCCTGTGGATTATTCAGGGCCCTGCATTCCACCTTAAGATTAAACCTTTCTACACCATGATTTAATGCATACTCTTCTGTGTTGCTTGTGGATTCCAGAGCCCGTGATAACCACCTTATGCTCCTCAGGGGGGTTATTTTATCTCGTGTGAATGTGTTTGGTATCTATGCTAATGTTTAGCTCAATGCTTTCTCAACTTGTCAGCTAAAATCAGCAAAATTATATGTAGTATCACAACTGATTAAAGGTTAAAGATATAGAGGCTTCAGGAGATTCCTTCAATGCACTGAGAGCCGTCTCTCAAGTATCCAAACCCTTTCCAAACAATATCTGCGGTTCTTCACCTTTCTTACCACGCCTGCTCCTCGATTTCACTTTTAAAATTTCATCCTGGTTGCTGGAAACATTTTTTGCATATTGAAAACAAATTGTCCGGGAACGACTTGTTCAGATGGGGCACATGGGGAAACCAAACCTGCTCCTTCACGTCAGAGGCTATCATGACCACAGAGTGCTTAAGTGGGAGTTGGACGAAATTTCCTGAGCCTCACAAGTCATTTGATACATCAAAAGAGAACATCTGGGGTTCAGAGTTAGGTTGCTCCACCAGCAGGTCAAGACAAACTCACTTGGAAATTATGTGATGTGCAAAATGCTGGTGTTGAAGACAAAACAGCGGAGTCAATAGATGAGAGAGATCATATATGCTGAGGTCTCCGTGAACTGACATCATGATCTGAGATGTTTTTTCCAAGTCTTTGACGCTGCTTTTGCCACAGTTTCCACCGTTTCCTGAGCATTAATCATGAAATTTGGGCCTCATCCATCATGTTGACATGATGGATGTTGGCTTCACTGCCTTTCAAAATTCTTTTGTGCATAACTTCACTCATAAATGCACATGTAAGCATTGTTTTTTTCTTGCAATTGCAGTAGTTTAAACCAACACAGATACTATGCTAGCTAGGACAAGAATGTACAACAAGGAAAAATAAGTTTAAAGATAACTTTATATTTTGATTGATTTATAACGATGTTTTTACTGCAGGGTACAAACATTTTAAAGTTTAAAATAAAAAGAATAAGAGGCTTTTGTTCTTTCAAACTTTTTCAACCCGTCTGCATTCCTCTGTTCTGATACGAAGTACAATAATTACAAGTGTGAGCATGATAAGATTAAGCATTCACTGTGACCGTTTGTTTTTCCACATGATTTACTTTATGGTTTCTTTCCGTCACAGATGGACAGAAAAGGAAAAAATCACTGAGGAGGAAGTTGGACTCGCTCGCCAAGGAGAAGAGTAAAGACAAAGGTACGAAGATTTTTCTTTTGATACGCTGGTTGACTAGGTCAGTAGGTATGCATGTT